ATCGTAATTCAGCCATGATTATCTGCCTCATGGGGCTATGCTATCTGTGTAGATGAAGCTTCGTCAGCAGTCCTTGATGCCCCAGGTTGGGCGTTTCCACCATGCACCGTTGGTTCCGGAGGCGTCCGCAACTGCAGAGCGCCATTTTGGCTCTTCCCCGGCCTTCATGGCCGTCCGTTCCGTGCGACATTGCAGTATGCTTACTGTATAATATACAACTATACTAAGTAAGAAGCAAAGACATCAGTTATAAATATTTTGATACAGGAAGCCCTGTTTCAGGGGGAAGTATCTCAACAACCACACAAACGGCTATTCAACCGGCTACTTAAACAGCCACTCCCTTGGCTACTAAAACGGCTACTTGTAACTTGAACAGATATACGAATGGCTATGTAAATACATTTTAGAATAGTTTCTTCATTGATCTTCAAAACAATCTTTCTAATAACCTCACACATATTTGATTCAGTACTTGAAAGTCTAGAAATAGACCTGGATATTCTACAACGCTCAGATAAATTCTTTGTTTGTTTTTACGTTTCCCTTTACTCTTTTGACTATTTCACCGGCCATAATTCCTTAATACAATATCATTCCCTAACAGCTGCCATTGCCAGCCGTACTTACGGGTTCATCGTTATGCAGTTACTAATAAGGCGCAGATCGTTGTAGGTATGTAGCCGAGTACACGATGGCCTGAGACAATTATACACTCTATTATAATCCCAATACTCATTTGCTCAATGCAATACCAGAATAGACAAGTCACAAATTATACCTTTCTGGGAATAACCTAACACCCCCTCGACAACGAGCACCAATAATCAATCCAATAAGTGCCAGCGTAGAATGGACAGAAAGAAGTAAAAGAAAAGACAAGGGATTGACACAACCAAGTACGTCTTGTATCAACGCAACCATGGAACTACTTGACCAGCCACACGTGTAATCTAGTCCATCCTTATTTATCCGAGGAATAGAAACTATTAGTCAATTCCCCGAACATTTTCCCGCATTACCCCAGGATGAATTACACTATCGAAAGCCTGTTTACTTTCCAGTTTCTCCATCTCTCACCCGCACTTTGCCGAACGAAGATGCTCCACCCACTCCATTCTATCTATTCATACTCAACCTGAATACGAATCAACTGCATTCCTACTTCGCCGCTGTTTCCTTCATGATCGTGGATGAGTAATCTTTAACACTGCATAATGGTCTCACTTTATTCTTGTTTACGGCCGATGAGCTGGCTGCCTTTGGCACGTCTCTCTCCAAAGCAGAGATTACACTCACCTCCACTCCTTTGGTTTGGATCTTATTCTTCTTCAGCCATACTAGTCTTGGCGTATTTAAAAATAACTTAGATTACTAATCCCTACATCTAACCCACCATAAGCAAACTAGTTACTAGACCACCCCCTCCCCCCGGTCAACAATATGCGACTCCCCCAACGCAGCCTTCAACACCAAAACCAACTCATCAATCGACGCCAGAAACTTCAAATACGAGCTAATAGCAACGCAATACCGTCTGTAACTCTCATCCCGCACCAATGTCTTACTCAGCTCAGCCGTCCGATGATGCTGACTCCATGTCTCATAGCACCGCTTAACCAACGGCGTGGGCAGCCGTTCCGGCAGTGCGGCACCCGCCTTCAGTGCCTGTTCGATGACACCTAGCACGGCCATGACGTCTCCGACAGTGTAGTCATGCATGAACCCCACTCTTTCCATTAGTCGTTCTTGTAACTCCAAAGGAAGTGTGGTGGATAGGACGAGAAGGCGACCCAAGGCTTGGTTCATGTCTTCGAGGAGGGATTGTGTCCGGGAGAGGGTTTTGCGGTTGAAGGGGCCGAAGCTCATTTCGAAGCGGAGGAGACCTATCGGTGCTTTGAGTGAGAGGAGGGTTTCGGCCATCTCGAGAGTGAGTTTCTCCGCTACAGTGGCGATCGGGTGGTCTGGGTCGGTTCGTGCCCAGTGCGATAGGACTAAAGCGTAGTGATCGGATATTGTTCGTACAGAGTTGGACATGGTCTGGCAGATGTGCCGGGTGGCTGATGGGGGTCGGGGGAAGAGTTGCACGACGGTGGCGGCGACGAAGCCTAGGAGAACGGTGACGAGCCGTTTCCAGAATGCTTCGTAGCCGCGTCCTGGCAGGCCGTATTGTTGGATGTGGCCGTCGTCGTAGCTGAAGCCGACGACTAGGACGAATGTGGCGCCGCTCATGATGGCGGCCATGGCTAGGGTTGGTGGGAGGAAGATCCGCCACCACATAAGTATGATGGTCATTGCTGCGGTGATTGCTCCAAGTCCGTATGCGTTGCCTGGTCCGTGTCCGGAGCCGATGTACCATGCGACCATGCCTAGAACTCCACCGATTATGGTGCCGACGAGGCGGGATACTAGTGAAAGTGTGAAGTCGGACATGTAGACTAGGAGGGTGGTTTGTGCGGTGATGACCCCCCAGATGCCTTTCTGTCGGTAGAAGAACCCGGCGGTGTGGGGAAGGGAGGAGGGGATCGAAGTTGCGATGGTCACCACCACCATGCGGAGAGCGTACATGCCGCCTGGGTTGAATAACCAGTGGTATAACGATATAATGATCCGTATGGTGCGAGTGCGCTGTGGTGTGCCATATCCCCGGCTGATCCTCAGTCGACGATCCGCTTCCCGAGTTCGTTTCTCGAGGGCTTCCGGGTCCGTTGCAGTGTTTCCTGGAGCCGCTGACATTGGAGTGGGAACACTGCCAGTCCCGACCCAAGTCAAGGCATACTGTAACCGAGAGGGGATCCAAAGTCTGGGTTTTGGGCGATTTTCCAATAGCCACAAGATGTGTCCGATGAGGTTCTGGGTTGCTTCGGCCATCGTTAAAATGCGCTCCTCAATGACCATGCCGATGATGATGCCTCGTAAAATATGCACACCGCCCACGTCACCAGCGTTGAAATCACCCTGGTCATCAAAGATCTCTGCGTGACTGGTAATCAGTGCTTCGGTTGTTGCGGTGATACTGGATGCGCGGATTCCACGAAGCGTCTCCAACACGTCTTTCACTCGCGAAGTCTGCTGGTCCATCTGTGACTGTGAGGGTGCTCGGACCCATCGCCGATTGTTGACAATGTTGATAGTCTCAATGCTAATATCTATTGCATGCGACATTGCTTGTAGAAGCGGCTGAGTGGAGTGCTTGAGTGCCTCAAGGGTACGTGCACGGATGGCTGTTTCCTCTGCATCCTGAAAGGCGTGAATCAGGTCATTACTCTGCTGGATCTGATGGTGGCCAATAGCCTGGTTCTTCTTTTCTCGCGAGCCGTTGTTGGGTAGACCCGCGTCGTGTTGTGCAAGCTTGGCTTTATTCTCCTCCTCGTGTATCCGTGCGATGTGGAAGTTCAGCAAAGACAGCGAGGCGACCAGTGTTTTGCGTAAAGCCCGCTGTAGAGTCTTCAAGTCATCGGCACCCCAATGACCCCGAGACAAGTCGAGAGGAAGAAAAGCCAACAGTGGCTCGAGGGCCTTGAGCGCACCGATGCCTTTACTCTTTGTATCGACCAGTTGCTGCAGACTCAATTCTTCACCACTTAAACGGGCTTCAGTACACTTCAGCGGCACCTGACCCAAGCGAAGCAGCTGCTCCATCTTCGTTAAAACTGCATAAGAAGTGGACTGCGGAAAGAAAAGGAGACAACAAGCCGTTCCCAGGCCGATGCCTATAGCACCAGGCTCGATCAAGACCGTGGGCAACAGGGCTGTGAACGAGGGCAAAGTCGGTCCAAATAGCAGAAACAGGTCAGTAACAATGATGCTGAATACCTGGGCCAGAGCAAATTTATTATTCGCAACCCGTAGACGAGACATGGCATAGATGAACACGCACGCCATGACATAAACGACAACAGTCACACGAGCATCGAGCATGAATCCATCGTGGATCAGCTGCTGCGTGACGGTCGTAGCACTCTGTCCAGTCTGACTAGCCTGTGTTACCACTTCTTGCTGCAATTGCTGAAGACGAGCCTGAGTTTGGGAGGAAGGGCGCGCAGCCAAGGCTGCCTTCATTGTGAGGAGACCCCAAGCCCAACCCAGGCACATCCCAGCGAGAAGCGTCAACGAGGCAAGCAGGTATACGAACAGAATTCCTGCTGGAGGGACAATATATAGTACCAGGGCGCCGAAGAACGTGGCGATGCCGATGCTCTGTAGGGCAGGCCCGATGAAGATCAACAATGTTGCAACCCATGCTGCAGTCCAACAGCGAAATAGGACCTTTAGATCACGTAAATTGAAATGATCCAACCAGGCTGGTAACGCCCATCGAGTCCGTTCTGCCATACCGGCAGTTGGGGCTTGATTTGAGAATTCTCCCCGAGGGGTCATCTTTGGAGAGCCATCGTGTCTGAGATTATAATCTGGTCCGAAGTTGAAAGGCAAGTTGCCAGAAAGTCAGGGCCAGCTCCATGCCGGTTTCCATGGGATGACTGAAGTCTGGTTGCACTGGGCCCGATACGACGTCATCTACGGCTAGCATTCTAGCCACCTGATGTTCAACAAATCCTTCTGGGAAAAATGTATTGCTCCACAAGATAAGACGCTCGATACTATAGAACGTCGATTCTGGGATCATTAAGACTTGGGATTGGTTCTACATTACTGGTGGTAAAAGTAGTAGTGATTCACAGCGAGGCCAAGCAATATCACATGACAACCATGTTTGGTCAATGTATCACGTGATTTAAAAGCCATTTTGTATAGTTTGCATCACCTGCAAAGAATGCAAGTAGAAAAACCAGAAAGGGAAACCGTTCCCCATCTACTCCGTATTCGGCCGAGAATCTGCGTCCAGTGGATGTTCAGGCCACAATTTGTACTAACAAGACTCCAAGTCTGTATCTAATGTTCCTTTGTGTCAAGGAAATATGTTATAAGGTTATATTATTCATAAGGAAATCAAAGGTCTACCCTGCGATTGAGTGACAGCAACTCCACAAATCAACTCGTCACCACGCGATCTTCGCAACAGGTCCCCGCGGAAACACGCGGACCAACACCTTCCGCAACTCATCCATGACCAGGACGCCAATCGCCAGACCCAATGGAATGAACCAATATTCCAACGGAATGGATGCAGTATTGAAAAGTGACTGCAGACCAGGCTCCTCCGTAACGAAAATAGCAATCACCAAGGACACGAGCATAGCCAGAGGCAGCCATGGATTCCGGCGTTTAGCGCGTATAGGATCGGCTTGCAGGATGGACATGCGCTTGCTCCGGACGGAGAGGATATTGCCCCATTGCAGGATGACCAGCGTGACGAAATATACGCTCTGTCCGACATTGTTGAAGTGCGTCAGCTCGGCCTCTGTGTAGCCGTAGAAGCCGTCAGAGTATTTCTCGAATGCGAATACCAGGGCGTGAAAAGGGATGCCGGCTTTCTTGTACATGTACAGGAAGAACATGCTATGGGCACAAAAGGCTTCCATAACTCCCACGAATAGGTAGGATTGTCCGTAGATACGGAGGTTAATGAGGTGGTCGGTTTTGTGGTTGCGAGGTGGGAGGCTAAGCAGGTCGAACTCTTCCTTCTCCATGATGAGCGACAGCGACAAGAACAGATCTGTGAACACACAGATGATAATCATTAGGAAGGAGCTCAGCGGCAACGGTACGCCGAAGAAGACATTCATGATCACTGGCCAGATTTCAGACCAACTGCCTGCCGGAAGCAGATAAGCGATGACCTTCTGGAGGTTCTGGAAGACTAGGCGACCCAGCCGTATCGCCTCCACAATGGAATCGAACTTGTCCAACAAGACCAGGTCCGCCGCTTCGATGGCAACATCGCTTCCTGAAACAACGGCAATTCCAATATCTGCTGCGCGCAAGGCGGGGGCATCGTTGACACCGTCGCCCGTCACGGCCACCACGTTGTCTCGAGACTTGAGCTCCTCAACGATACGCAGCTTTTGCTCCGGAGTGGTCCGGGCGAAGACAATATCCTCATACTGGCAAATTGCATTCCACTGGTCTTCGTTAAAAGTCGAAATCTGCGACCCTTCTACCATGAGACTGCGTCTCGACCTTCCCTCATGCTTCTCAGCTGGCGCTGCGACTGCGGGTGACGCCAGGTCCGCGACGGTATCCGGCTCAGCAGTTCCGGTAAAAATACCGATGTCTCGGGCAATTGCCGCAGCAGTCAGACCAAAGTCACCGGTCACCATGAAGAAACGAATGCCAGCGCCTCGACAGGCCGCCACCGTTTCAGGAATTTCTGGACGGGGAGGGTCGATAATACCAAAGATGCCGATAATTGTCAAGTCTTGCACGCCATTGGCTAGCAGCTCATCATTGAACTGGTTCGTACCCACCGCCGCAGTCGACGCATATTCTCGTTGGCAAAGAACAATGACTCGCTGGGCACGGCGGGAGAGCTTTTGTTGGAATGCAGTAAACATATCCTTCGCAGCAGCATCCAGAGGTTTGGCCACACCGTCCTTGGACCAGTATGAAGTACACTTGGGCAGAAGTACATCCGGGGCACCTTTGACATAGATGAGGCTGTGGGTCGAGGAGGACGGATTTTGGTGCACAGTAAGCATCCACTTGTTTTTCGAGTTAAAGGGGATTTGATGGGTGCGTTGGTAATTATGAAGGTCAGTCTGTCCATCTGCTCTGAGCATCTCGGCCAAACGCAAAACAGCCGCGTCGGTCGCATTGCCATTTACGACGCGTTCAGGAATTGGCAAGGCCAATGTTTCTTGGTCAAAGAAGGCATCGTTGCAGAGCTTGGAGCCTCGCAAGAGGGGCTCAAGAGGTTCTGGAAGGGGAATCGACTTCTGCTGTGCGGTCACCAGATCCTCAACAAAGAATTCTTGGTCAACGAGGCCCACCGACTGCACAAACATCTTGTTCTGGGTCAGTGTCCCCGTTTTGTCTGAGCAGATCACGTTGACGCAGCCAAGGGTTTCCACTGTCGCCAGTCCCTTGGGCAGGATGTTGTTCGCCTTCATCCTCTTTGCGACGATCATCAAGGTGAGGGCAACGCCGACCGGCATACCCTCGGGAATGAAGGCGACCACGCAGCCCATAACATCGTTCAACATCTCAACAACGCTCATGAATTGTGGGTGGTCAACTCGCAGCCAGCCCACCCAGCTGAATAGGATGACGGCCGCTAGGATGACAGTGAGCACTACAATGATCCGTACGAAGCGTGTGATCTCCTTCTGGATGAGCGTTGGCTTCTCCTTCACGTCTGCCGTGATGGACGCCAAGCGACCCATGACGGAGCGACTCCCAGTCAGGACAACAACGCCAACAGCATTGCCATTAGTGACCCCGGTGCCCATGAAGGCGATATTGCGGGTCTCAAGGAAGTTTTGGTCGGTAGCGTCGGTGGCACCCTCGACTTCATCGGACTCTCCCGTCAGAATGGACCGATCGAATCGAACATCCCCCGAGCTTTTGATGATGCGCATGTCAGCCGGCACCTTGTTGCCAATGGAGATTTGAACGACGTCTCCCGCAACAAGGTCAGTAGCTGGCAGCTTAATCAAGTTACCTTCGCGGAGAACAAGAGCCTCCGCTGGCAGGAGGCCCAGGATCGATTTCATCACGCGCGATGTCGACCAATCCTGGAAGGCGGAAAACGATGCTTGCAGGATAATGACGATGATGACCAGGATGGCCATGGCCAGGTTTGTGACTGAGGGAGGATTGCTGAGCGGTTTCCAGCATATGAAGAAGATGATCACGCCGATCCAGAGGACCGAGCAGAAGCCACCAAAGACATAGCCAAGGATCTTCTTCACATAATTCTCCCCATGGTGTGCGATGATGTTCTTCCCGTCGCGTTGAAGACGAGTAGCTGCCGCGTCAGTACTCAAACCACGGCCTGCGTCAACATTGAACTGCTGGCACAACCGGTCGATAGCAAGTACATGGAAGTCCAGACTTTCGAAATAGTCCTAATCTGGTTTTTTCTCTTCCTTTCCCCGCTCTTTCAGCACATGTTCTGGGGCTGCCTGGGATTCGGAGATTTGAAACGAAAGGGTACGGAACTCGATTGGGATTCCAGCTGCCGTTGGGGACTGGGGAATACTGCGAGTGCTGCGAATGGTATCTCGACTGCGGGAACGTTTGTCGCCAGGGGAGTATATAGACCGAGTGCCGTCATGTACATTGGGACCGTCGAAGGTGATTCGCTGGGATCTGGCAGTGCTTCGCACCTGGTCATTGGGGGTCTCTTTATCGGCTTCCAGGTCCAGGGTGGATGAAGAATCGTCTGGCTGGTCCGCACACACAGCAGCGGTGGGAGTAGTCATGATGATGCAGAACAAAAATGAGACAGATCACTCTCGGATGACACTCTCGATAATGTGCAGTGATGCACTGGGTATAGTTCGATTGTACGATGCGAATGACAGATATGGATTGGCTGGGGATGAAGGGGTTGTTGCTGAAAATTCAACACTATCCTCCTGGGAAGCCCCTCCATCTATTTATCTGCTTCCAGGCCGTCATAGTGAACTCGAACCAGTCCCGAAAAGTCATGGTAGGGTGGGATGGCAGTCCCTATATCGTGGAGGGAAGCGAGAAAAAATGTGTCACGGCGTCTGGGGATGGACAGGCAGACGGTTTCAGCTGCCATGAAGGGCAAAGAGGATTGTGTGGACCCCCAAAGCCATACGAGAGATTAACAGTGTCCTGCTGCTAGTGTAGGGAAGCGGCTGTCAGGAACTGGCTCTGGGAAATCCCTCACTGGCCCTGTGGATCATGGTTGCCTTACCATGGATTGCTCCGGTCAAGCAAAGCTGGCAGAAACACTACTGTAGCAGGTACTCTCTGCCAACATGGGGCTGGCGGCAATCCAGTAAAACTGTGATTAATTTCCCTTACAAGACGACTCACCGAAGTGGGTGCTATCCATCCACAAGTCTTCTTCGCACGAGCCGAATTCAACGACAAAACCTGGTACTCAGAGCCGTCTGTGCGATTTGCACATAATCTCACACGTGGAGAACAGGTGAGACGGTAGCAGATAGCATTGCTGGGTCATTGCTTTGTATCAACGCTGGGATGAGATCCCTATTGCCGATAGACTCTGTTTCATTTGTCGCCGATTGGCCTGTTCCCGGAAATAAGCATCTCCACGTGGGGGCTGGCCTGGCAAATTGTAGAACAAGACATCCACCCTTCCAATCACGGTCCCTGTGCCAGAATGATGTCCGATATAGTCTTTGTTTTCCGTACATCAACATCCAGTAGCGATTCTATCCGCAATTCCTGTTTGGCTTCTTCCCGTGCAACTGGGCAATCGTAGAAAGTGTCATTGGAAGCAACCCGTGTTGCCTTCGCACAAATGTCAGATTTGCCAATACTCTGGTCCATCCTCACTTCGCTTGGTGCTGACACCATCACTGCGGGATTTTTGTGGCCCAAAGAAGTGCAGGTCCGTTTATCTCTGGTCTGTAACCTCGTGGGAGAGGGCAAGCCGTGTTCGCGACCGACCGACGGGTGGGAACCAAATGAATCGCTCTGAATAATCCCGCATACTTGGGACCACGCGGGAGTGCCCACCAAGCCGGCACAACCTCAAGCTCGACGCGAGTCGACTCGCCTCTGTTCCGTGGCAACAGCAAATTTTGGCTGTTTCTTTGTGTGTGTGTGACAAGCGGACTTTCTTTCTCCGGACTGTGACAAGTCTACAGCCCACTACCGGAGGTTGTTCTCAATGAAATTTCCCTCAGGGGCTTTCTAAGTGCGTGACTTTGTAGGGCTCGAAAATTTTCTAGTTGCTTGCTCTTGGCTTGTCTCTTACTCCACTGGGATTCATAATATGATCGAATCTTTTGTCTGTAGCACTGTCTCTTTGAGTGAGGGTAGCGGTAGTATGATGTCAATGGTTCTAGCTTTGTTGCGCTCTTCGTCAGTCCAGTCTGGACTGTGATAGCCCGTCCAAGATAATGATACGCCGAGGTATCTATATTCCAAGAATGCAAGTGTCTGTGGACTGTTCACCGCGCTGTTCCTCGTCCCCTCCTGAAGCTATGCATCCCAAATTCTAATCCAATTTCTTAAGGGGTTTTGTCCTTCACAAAGGTAATCTTTCTGGCCAACCAACACCCGAACGTAACACCGACCACCTCGCCCTGTACGTCCCGTTGAAATACAACTGTCCAGTTCCCCGGTGCTGGCGCATCTAGGCCTCGTGCGCATACGAGAAACCAGATGTCGTCTCCCAGGTATCGCATGAGCTCAGCCGGCCCGTGGCCGAGGAATCCCTTGAACGATCCGTACAGCATACCACCGGCTCCGCTGCAAAAAAATATGGAGTCCATTTCCGCACAGTGGTATCGGCCGACATAGTCGCCCTTGGGCGCCTGTTGACCAGCAATAATCCGTTTAGCCTGGATGTGACGGTTGTCGTAATTACGGTGGAGTATGAGGATATCGGAACAAAGCGTGGCAGTTGCCAGGTCCGACCGTGCCTCAAATTCCTCAGTGAGCTTCAGTGTCTCATCATCACCTGTATACGTAACGATGACTTCTCCTGGTCCCCCTAGGCGAACTTCAACCACCAGTTGTGTCTCCGGGTCAAAGTAAACTCCCGCCCAGTTTGGGGCCGGCATGGAAAGCAGCCCATGCTGTGCAGGGAGACCAAGAGCTTGCTGAAGAATATGTCCAGCTACCTCTGCGGCATCTATTTCGTGATTCAGCATAGCCACAACGGCAACTCGTTCTGTTGGTACTTGGGTCCGGTGCAGGCGATATCCACGAATGGCCCCGCCATGGCCGATTGTCGTAGTCTGCCCAAACTTTATATGTTCCAAGCCATATCCATACCCAGCTGGTGTACCGTCATCGAATAACGGCTCTTTCGCGATCTCTCGATACACACTCTCCCGATCGGCCCATGCCTTGTCCAGATAGCATTCGTACGCGATCATATCCTCCAGGCTGGCCACAACGCCGGCGTCACCGGACCATTGAGTTCGGTTGGTGGCCGGTATGTAGCCAAAAGATTCGTTGCCTTCGTACCCCACACATGGCGGGGGCAACTTAGCGTTGTCTGCGCAGAGGGTTGCGGTTTTCATCCCAGCGGGCAAAAAGAGTCGTTCCGAGAGCAGTTCTCCAAGAGACGTTCCACTAACGTGCTCGACAATGCGAGCAAGGATATGAAAGTTGAAGTTACAGTAGGAGAATTGTGTGCCTGGTTGGAAATGGAGGGACTTGGTCCGGTCAAGCGCTTTCCTGGCGTCTTCCGCGAGAGTGAATTGCCCTTCCGGTTGTGTGCCCCAGAACACCGACATGGCCCAATAGTCTCGAATTCCCGATTGGTTGTTGCAGAGGTGGTCGATTCGGAGACCGTTGTTGTCGATGAGCTCGGGGGAGACCAATTGGCGAAAAGCATCCGACAGTTGCTGAGGTATATCGCCTCGCTCCACCATGGCTGGTGTGGGGTTACGCTCCAGATCCTTGAGGATCAAACACAACATCTGCTTCGTAATCGAGCATATTGGCATCAGTGTTGAAGCAGTCATGGGGATCCGTTTCTGCAAATCCGCATATCCCCAGGTATACTTTCCGGCCAGTTCGCCATCCTTGATGATGGCGACTGCTCCACCAGGACCTCGATAACGCGAAGGGATTGTTTCCAGTACAGCTTGCATGTTCGGGAACATCACTTGAAAGCCAGGTTCAGTATGGAAATGATACAGTGCAGGGGGGAGCAGAGCTTACTTGTGCAGATAATGGTCAGTCGTAAATCACACTACTCAATTTGGACCCCGCAGAACAGTAACTATACAGGTGGTTGATGAGATCAAGTGCCTGCTTCTTAAAAGATGGACCAGAAGGGTATCGGGCACCCGTTTGGGAAGCCGCCGGCTCTGGCCGCACCGCGCCCTTACCCAAACCGGCATGGCTATGCGGTTAGTCGTCTACTTGTCGATAAGAGAATCTTAGAGTGCAATTATGGCCAAACTTGGGAGGCAATTGAAATTCGTAAATACTCAATAACAAGCTAGCATGGAAAGGTTATCGTGTATTCTAGAGGGCTGCAGCCGAAGAGCCTTGTCAAAACCATTCACTGTCTGGGGGAACGCACCATTGATCTACGACCGTCTGAAGATAGCTAACATACTCGCCGCCGAAGGATGAAGGATGCGTACTGAAATTAGGAAACAATCTTAATAGCAGCCAGGATGATGAAATAGCGACATCCACCTCACCATCGTACTCGTGGTTCCACTGGGGCTCTGAGACATGAATAAACCACCAACAGCAGAACATCCCACCATGCCTGTGTTGCCAGAAACATCAGTGCCCAGCTGGGCTGCTTCGAGCCGGTGAGCAGATATTTGTACCCCAGCCAAACCCCTATATGAGCCCCCACTAGAACCAACTTCCCCACGGTGGATGCCCCGATGACGACTTTTCGTTGCATTCTTGGCCCGCCGGCTCCATCATATAGGATGAACAGTAAATATCCGACCCAGAAGCCGAGCGAAATGGTGAGGCATAGGGATGCGAAATATGGGAGTAACGAAGGCGGCTCTGCTGGGGACTTGATGAAGTTGTTAAGACATCTTCATATCAATGGGGCGACAGACATACCAGCTCTGGGGGAGGTACATAGCTTCGGTAAGCCCAGACGGTGGAGATGATCGCCGTTGTCATGAATGTGAGCCCACTCAAGGTTTGGATGACGGGAGCCGCTGGAATGATGAGGGAGGTCCGCCGACGCACAGAATGGCGTCTAATATGGGGACTGGCATCATGCTGAGTTGCAGAGGCATAAGATGGTAAGAGGGGCTCAGTTGACATAGCTACTATCCGGGACCGTTAGCCCGTCCGCATATAGTAAACAGAGCGGACGCTTGAGGAGCCGTGGATTCCCAGAAAGAGTGGGGGAGACCAAGTGGAGATGCCCAGCAGCTGGCCATCACATCACATGATGGGCCGGTGTTTGCTGTGTTTGCTGAACACCAGCCATTGTATTTACATCAGGCATTATTTCGAGTAGTACATAACTAGTACTCTGTACACAGTGAGGTATATACCTCCTTACTCCCGGTCGTGGCTGACTTTACTCAACCACCATCCCAGTTCCACTCCTAACCTCCCCTCCTGATCATACATGACAAGATGTCCTGCTCCTTCGATTAACACCACCTCTCTGGCATTCAACTTAGTTCTCAGTCTCTCTGCCGTCTCCACCGGGATCCATTGGTCTTCTGTCCCCCAGATAATTGTGACTGGCATCACCTGGCCCACTTCGGAGTATCTCCCTTCGACCGCCTCTGTACTGCGACTGTTGGCTTGCGCCATTTGCCTAATAAAGCCTTTCCGGCCTTCCTCATTAATGATCCACGGGCGCTTCAACATGTCCATCGTTTCCTTGCTCAACTCTGTATATGCTGCATTCCGGATATATGCCTCGACCATTCCTTCGAACATCGGACCGGTCAAACTGGTAAACGCCTCTTCATTTTCCGCCACTGATTTGAACAAAGGTTGCCCGAATGGCCCCAAAGCAACCACATTGATCAAACACAAACTGGCAAATGCGCAAGAATGAATAAGGTGCGCCCGTAAACTCATCAGTCCCCCATGATCGTGGGCGACGACATGTGCCTTATTATACACTCGAGGCCAATCCTTGGACCAGATTTCGTAAAGAGCAGCAAATACCTCCGACTGCTGTGCGAGATCTGCATCTAGGGCGACTTCTTTGCTAACCAGTGCCTCCTTTCCTGGGAGAGGAATGCCCAGTGGGCTCTCGCCGAATCCCGGGTTGTCAAAGAGATAGACATGGAAATATCTAGCCAGGGAACGTGCAAAGACGTGCCAAACCCGCGAAGACCATGGGGTTCCATGCACGAAGACCAAAGGTGGCCGGGAAGCGTCACCTAATGAGGTCCAGCGTACAGCGTATTTGTGAGTAGTGGTATGGTAGTGAAATGTTTGAGTAAGTGGGATGTCAGCCATAACTGAGCGGTCCATAATGCTACAATATAGACTCCGACGCTGAAGATTGTGGTTGTGATGATATTCTCCAAATCAGCCCCCCGCCCATGGAGATGCTAACCCCGCTTCGACGCAATGCGACCGAGTGAGCTTAGCTCCATTTGTCATCCTTATCTATCCCCCATCCCCACATCTTCTGGGAGTCATCGCATTTCCCAAAATCATCCCTTGCCAATTTAGTTTCCTGGCCTGGGACTTCGTTGTCGCTAATCAAAATGTCAACAGCAATTGAAAGCGACCGCGCTGCCTACCTTCTCGACGCGCAAAACAAAGCGGTGCAACTATTTGAGGAAATCGAACGAGACCTGATTCGACCGGGCGTGAGTGAAAAGACACTCAGCACTGAGATCCACGAGCTGGGAGCTAAACGCCATGGAGTCCGTACTCACTGGCATAAACGGGTGGTCCGCAGTGGACCAAACACCCTGAGTCCCTTTGCCGAGAACCCGCCCGATCGCATCATTCAGCCCGACGATATCCTGGTGGTGGACCTCGGCCCAGTCTTCGAAGAATGGGAAGCGGACTTCGGGCGCACATATGTTCTGGGAGATGACCCGGCGAAGCTGAAACTACGCGATGCGCTGGACCCCATATGGCACACGGTCAAGCGACGGTTTCGAGAGAACCCAGATATGACGGCGGAGGAATTGTACGCCATCGCCTGCCAGGAGGTTCAACAAGCGGGATGGGATTTCGGTGCTCCCATCGCAGGTCACCTGGTGGGTTCTTTTCCGCATGAGAGAATTCCGAATGATAAGATCAGTTTGTATATCGCACAAGGGAATGGGGATAAGATGATGGTTCCCGGTCGCGATGGGCACATGCGACACTGGATCCTGGAGATCCACATTCACGATCGGGCGCGCGGATTCGGGGGGTTCTGCGAGCAGTTATTGACGGTGGATTGATGCGATGTGCTGGATGCGCCTATCAATGCGGAGAAAACGTCAGCAGACAGGTCACGGATGCCTTGGAGGACAAATGGCGTGATTATGGGGCTTTTCACACCATTAAACAAGAATTAGAGGATATAGGAACCAGGGTATAGAAGATTAGAGATATCATGACTTCTGATCGCATTTATATATTCAGTCTTATTTAAATTACATTGTTACTAATGATGGCAATTGTATTCAATCAAATATTCCCCCCCCCCTCATGAACTGAAAAGGGTAGTGATATATCTTTCTTGCGCTGTGCATCATGATCGATCGACCAGCAACTCGTCATTCTATGCTATGTATGTAACTATCATTCACACAATTTAATACTATGTCCGCTGACAGACTTCCCAAGATAATATTTCACATGCAACACCAAGGAATGTGGGCGGAATCCACAACCCCAATTTGCCAAGGTGTCTAGACATCCGCCCAGGTGCCAAGGGTGGATAGATTTCCGCCGGGCACCCAATCTCCGCCATCGATGCTCCCAGTCCCCAGTCCTGCCCAGAACCCATATGCACTCGGGTTTGGTAATAGTACCTGGACAGCTGTGAAGATGCCCTCTCTATTTATAATTACCTTTCATGTCTCCTCCTGGGCCATATTGGCATTGGCTAAAATTACCCAAGCAGACTTTCTTGGCCAGATTACTGTGTGTGCACACCTTCCTTTTTCTGGGTTGGTTTGACCAGGTCTTGCTCATCCTTCACACTACCATGATTGCCTGTAAGAAGGAATATCCACCTCGAACGTATTAATTCGATTAGGAGTACAGTCCGTGCGCGAGGCATCGACTACACGTCAAAATTCGTGCTCATTGTCAATTAGCTAAATCTGCCTTTCGCGATTCTGGAGGCTTGGCAAAGTCTATTCTGTTGGGTCACCCAAAGTACAGCAGCCGAGTTCTGCGGAGCGGGATGTTGGCAGTCTCGGCGCCAATGTCTGCCCCTCCTGTTAAACTTTCCGCCAACCCTACGGGGCAATAGATGAAGTCAACTATGGGAGCTGGGGACAGAGATGGGTCTAGGGCACCCAGATCCAGAGACTTACACGAGGTCGTTCCCAAATCTCTTAAATAGCCCCTTCCCCCGTGCGGAAGGGTATCCCGCCGAGCTTTGCTATACACACTTGATCCGTGTAACCTGCTGAGTACTGCATACCTGCCATCTCTAATGCCAGCCGAGAAGCAACATTCAACTTCCGACCGGGGCCCCGAGGTTATTTCGGGTCCATTGAGTGGACCAGCCCACGCTCTGACTTATAAGACTGTCATCAAGGAATTGGGTACAGCACTCGACGATGGCTTGTCTCCCGAAGAGGCGCGGCGTCGTCTGGACCAGTACGGTCCCAATAAGCTGGATGAAGGCGAAAGTGTTTCCATTGCAAAGATCCTCCTTCGCCAGGTGGCGAACGCCATGATGCTAGTTAAGCGGCCCACTCTCCATTTTGTGGCATGAAATACGTCTGAGATTCCGATATCTGATCCAATTCTTTGCTGCAGGTGTTGATTCTGGCCATGGCGGTCAGTTTCGGGATTCAGTCGTGGATTGAGGGTGGAGTGATCTGTGCTGTCATTGTCCTCAATATCGTCGTCGGGTTCTTTCAAGAGTACGCCGCGGAAAAGACTATGGAATCGCTTCACTCACTCTCGTCGCCGACCGGTACAGTCTCACGAGGGGGGCAGACCTTTTCGATTCCATCGCAGGAGATTGTTCCGGGTGACATGGTTGAGTTGAGGACTGGAGATACTGTTCCCGCGGATATACGGTTGGTCTTCTTTCATTATCTGCAATAGCCTGGACTGCAACGATACTAATTCGTCTCTGAACAGCATAGTTGAAGCAGTCAATTTCGAGACCGATGAGGCCCTCCTGACTGGCGAATCACTCCCTGTTCAGAAAGAATGTGATTCCACTTTCAAGGAAGATACAGGCCCGGGCGACCGTCTTAACATCGCGTACAGCTCGAGCACCGTTACCCGCGGCCGTGCTCGTGGTGTAGTCATTGGCACAGGCATGTCCACTGAGATTGGTTCCATCGCCCTCGCCTTGCGCAATAGCAACACCAAGCGTCGTCCCGTCAAGCGTGGCCCTGACGGAGAAACCAAGAAACGCTGGTATCTCGAGGCATGGACTCTCACGGGAACGGATGCCGTCGGTCGCTTCCTTGGCGTCAATACCGGGACGCCCCTGCAAAGGAAGTTGTCGAAGCTAGCTTGTTTGCTGTTTGGCGTCGCGGTGATGTTTGCCATTGTTTGCATGGCTGCAAACTATTTCAGCAGCAACAATGAAGTGATCATGTACGCGGTTGCGACCGGTATCAGTATGATTCCGGCGTGCTTGGTGGTTGTTCTCACCATCACCATGGCAGTCGGCACCAAGCGTATGGTGGAGCGGAATGTCATCGTTCGCAAACTCGACTCGCTGGAGGCCCTCGGTGCTGTTACTGATATCTGCTCGGATAAGACTGGTACGTTGACTCAGGGGAAGATGGTTGTCAAAAAGGCATGGATCCCATCTCGTGGAACATATTCTGTTGGCGCATCCAACGAGCCATTCAACCCTACCATTGGCGATTTGAGCTTTGCGCCCGTATCTCCTTTAAAATTTAGTGAAGAGGATGAAGGTCTTCCGGGAGCGAATATTGAAGATCTAGTCTCAGACAATCGTCAACTCCAGGACTTTCTCAATGTTGCCGCGATGGCTAACCTCTCTCACGTGTTTGAATCTGAAAATGGTGAGTGGAACGCACGAGGCGAGCCCACAGAGATTGCGATTCAGGTATTCGCATCCAGATTCAATTGGAACCGCGACCGTTGGACCAAAGGACAAGGCGCGTTGTGGCATCAGAAGGCCGAATTTCCCTTTGATTCTACAGTAAAGAAAATGTCAGTCATTTTCAGCAAGGTCGGATCAAAGGATGATCAAGACAACGCCACCATGGTCTTCACCAAAGGCGCTGTTGAGAGGGTTGTCGACTCATGCACGTCCGTCATTTGGGATCAAGGTTCCTCCACACCGGTGCCTCTGACTAACGAACATCGCAACTTGATCTTCCAAAATATGGAGGAGCTGGCCAAGCTCGGACTGCGAGTACTAGCACTAGCTCAACGTCCGCACACTGAACAGGCACGAGTACTAGAGGGCTCCGACCTGGAACGTGATACTATTGAGAAGGACTTGTGTTTTCTAGGCCTCATCGGGTTGTACGATCCGCCACGACCCGAGACGGCTGGCTCAATCCAGGCCTGCTATCGCGCCGGTATAGTTGTCCACATGGTCACTGGCGATCATCCAGGTACTGCAAAAGCGATCGCTCAACAAGTGGGGATTCTTCCTTCGGATTTCAGCACCGTAGCTGCCGATGTCGCGGATGCGATGGTTATGACAGCAGGTCAGTTCGACAAGCTTTCAGATAAGCAGATTGATGCGTTGCCGACCCTTCCCTTGGTCATTGCTCGCTGCGCACCTCAGACCAAGGTGCGCATGATCAGCGCCCTCCATCGCCGCAATCGCTTCGCAGCCATGACCGGCGATGGTGTGAATGACTCGCCCTCACTTAAACATGCCGACGTGGGTATCGCCATGGGACAAGCGGGATCGGACGTGGCCAAAGATGCGTCGGACATCATTCTCACAGATGACAACTTTGCCTCTATACTCAACGCCGTTGAAGAAGGTCGTCGTATCTTTGACAATATCCAGAAATTTGTGTTGCACTTGCTGGCTGAAAACATCGCTCAAGCCTGTACCCTTCTCATCGGACTGGCGTTCAAGGATGCTGATAATCAATCTGTCTTCCCCTTGGCTCCTGTTGAAATTCTCTGGATCATTATGATCACTTCAGGTATGCCCGATATGGGCCTGGGAATGGAGGTAGCCGCCCCTGATATTATGGACCGTCCTCCTCAGAGCAAGCAAGGTATCTTCACGTGGGAAGTGATTATCGACATTCTGGTGTATGGTATTTGGACCGCAGCGCTGTGTCTGGCAGCATTCTCTGTCCGCATGTGGGGATTCGGTGACGGCAATCTAGCCCGTGGGTGCAACCAGGAGTGGTCGGACCAGATCCAAGATTGCGAACTGGTTTTCAAAGCCCGTGCTACGACGTTCGTTTGTTTGACGTGGTTCGCGCTCTTCCTGGCGTGGGAGATGATCGATATGCGACGGTCATTCTTCCGCATGCAGCCTGAATCCAAGAGGTACTTCACTCAGTGGATGTATGATGTTTGGCGAAACAAGTTTCTCTTTTGGTCTATCATGGCTGGGTGGATCACCATGTTCCCCATTCTTTATATCCCTCGACTGAACGACGTCGTGTTCAAGCACAAACCTATCACATGGGAGTGGGGTATTGTGGGTGTCGAGGCGGTTCTTTTCTTTATGGGTGTTGAGTCGTGGAAGTGGGCCAAAAGAGTCTTTTTCCGTCGCAGAGACCGTAAGAACTTGACGTTGGGTTCGATGGCGAACACGCCAGAGCAACCCTAACGAGTGCTCTCTCCGGCCAAGTCATTTGTGGCCGGGGAGTAACATCATTTCGCTCCTGGCACGTCCTATGGAGCTTACACGCTGCATAATGCAGAACTGGTATTACTTACAGTGTAGGAACGGGGTAAGTATAGATGGAATAGCGAAAGGGGGGCTCTCTGCACCCAGCAGATGGTATACCCAAAACGCTAGCTAGGACGCATGATGGCATTGGTAGAAAATTGGTTATAGTTGTCTTGGGGTGGGTATTCTAAAGCATCCAGAATGAATTTCGTGTCAATATTAGGATAGTCCTTTACAATAGAAAAGTTGACATTCAACCACACTGATATCTACAGTGGTACAAAGTAAAGCATCCTGCGATAAGCGGGGAAGCCCGTGATAAGAGCGATCGGCCATCCCCGCATTCCATCCCTGCCGTAACCACACCAGCTTCATTATTCCCTTCCCAAATCCCACACTCTTTCTCTCTTACGAGCAAATGATTTAGACGTGAATCTCACGACTACTCACTATGTCTCCACGCCCCGTCATCGCCATCGCCGGCCTAGCCTGCGAAACCTCCATGTTCACCCGCGCCCGCACACTCGCCCCCGCATTCCATCCCCGCCGCGGCCATGAAATCATCGACGAATATCCCTTTCTCCAGTCCGGCACAGAGCTTGGAGATGCAGCGGACTGGCGCGGTGCACTTATTGGACATGCACTACCTGGAGGCATTGTAGTCCGGGAATCATTCGATGAGTTGGCCGACGAGATCGTATCCCGATTAACTGACATTGTCAAGTCAACACCGCTGGACGGACTATGGTTCGATATACATGGCGCTATGTGTGTGGAAGGTCTCGATGACGCAGAGTATGAGCTGCTGCGCAGAATCCGACGGGTCATCGGGCCAGATGTTATCGTTTCAGCGTCAATGGACCTTCATGGCAATGTCTCGCGTGATCTAGCGCATCAGACTGATCTGATTACTTGTTATCGAATGGCGCCGCATGAGGATGAGACGGAGACGAAGGAGCGTGCGTGTCGGAATTTGGTTGATTTACTCGCGCGTCAGGAGGAAGGTCGGATGTACCGACCATTCAAGGCGTGGATACCTCTTCCTATCTTGTTACCTGGCGAACAGACATCCACGAGGGTAGAACCGGCTAAGAGTCTCTATGAGCTGGTGCCCAAGGTTGAATCATTACCTGGTATCATTGATGCAGCAATCTGGGTCGGGTATGCCTGGGCTGACGAACCGCGTAATTGCGCCGTGGTGATGGTGACCGGGACGTGCGAGGAAGCCGTGGCTGCAGGGGCGGAGCGTCTGGCAAGGAAGTTTTGGGAGGGTCATGCAGAATTCCACTTTGTTGGTCCGACAGGATCATACGCAGAGTGCATTGATGCCGCATTGCAATCATCGAAGCGACCGTTCTTCATCTCGGACTCTGGAGACAACCCAACCGCTGGGGGGTCTGGGGACGTCACCTGGGGGCTTACACAGCTGCTTGCACGACCCGAGTTCGAAGACGAGCCAGGTCCAACTGTCATCTACGCCAGTCTGCCAGGACCACAAGCGATGCGGACTATAGTAAATGCGGGGGTCGGAGCAACAGTCACCGTCACGGCAGGAGCTGAGGTGGATTATACCCTTGCAGGCCCTCTCACGATGACTGGACGAGTTCACGCAATTAAGCACGGCGATAAAGACGCAGTAGTCGAGGCAGTTTTACAAGTTGGCTCAGTATTTGCGATCCTGACGCAACTTCGCAAACCATATCACCATGAGCACGACTTTACCGAGTTGAACCTTAAGCCGCGTTCAGCTGATATTGTCATCGTCAAGATAGGCTATCTAGAGCCAGAGTTATTCGACATGGCGGCCGACTGGTTACTAGCGTTGACTCCAGGGGGAGTGGACCAGGATTTGGAGCGTTTGGGACACCATCGCATAAGTCGTCCAATGTGGCCGTTCGACAAGGTGTTTTCGACGCCACCGGATCTCTGTGCAAGGATGATCCCGCCTTCGAACGAGTCACGGGCATGAATAGCCCGCATCCGGCATGAAAGAAAGTATCTTTGCGATCTGCAAGGAATCGGCAATGACGGAGCGAGAATTCCCATCGGATATGCACGTGATGGAAGATGCTAAATAAAGCAATGCGCTGCCAATCAGATACTCCGAGCCGTGCTCCCGTTTGGGATGTGGATCTCGGGATTTCTTGAGTGTCTCAGTGGGATTGGGAAGTGAGCTGTCATGTTTGACTGATATACATTCTCCATTACCGTCCAATTTGTTCTTTTACCTACAATAAGATAAGGGGTAATTAGTTATCTTCCACAAACATTATTGCGGTGGCTATGCAAGATAATATCGTCATCATGCTCAATCGAACAAGTAGGGCATCTCGAATTCATAATATATTTGTACAAGTCACATTACTATAACGCATCGATTAGCTCCCATGATTCTGAGAATCTACAATAAATCCATTTCAATCCTACTACTTAGCTTCTTTGATCCCTATAATACTACCTCTGCCCACAGGTTGACATATTAGTCAAGGTCACCCGCCACCACCCAACCAGCTCATAAACAAACCCCAATGTAGCCAACTAACGAGAAATCCACCACAACACAAGCTTTCTAGCCCCAATAGTACACCCCATCTACCGTACTGCACTCTTCACATTGGACGAGATGAGAACCCCGGTTACCCTCCCCACCCCAATCTAGCGAGTAATGTCACGGCCTGACGAGCGACTAGTGAGACACTATTGAAGTGGGTGCCCCCCTCCTTGATTATTTCTTTTTCCACCTTGTCCCGGTGAGGTGGGCGGTTACTCTCCACTATCATCTGGGAATGTCTTATAACCCACAGAAACAATCTGAATTATACGAACATCCTAAATAAAATCGAAAACAAATCACAAGAATATATATAAATTGACCAACACTAATACATCAATCCCACCTTCCTACAACCTCTCAATCATCTTCAGTATAACACAAGCCCCCAACCAAACCTAGATACTAACAGTTTACAACAAAATCATTCCAGTACCAGACAAAACACCCACAGCAACAAACACCACCAACTGACCCAACCCAAGGGTAGCAGTGTAGCTCATGTAACCCGGCACACCAGCAGAGCTACTCTCCGAACCACTGCTACCGGAGTCGCCAGTGCTCGTACCAGCAGCAGCAGACAACGACACGGTACCTGTACCAGCGGTGCCAACAGCCTTCAACAAGGACGAGCAAGTACCAGTAGGAGAAGTAGTAGAGGTAGTAGTAGCCGAGCCAGCAAAGTCACAGGCAGAAGCACCGTTACCCTTCTCCTTCTGCTCCTCGTAGTAGGCGTTCAAGGCCCAGTTAAGCATCTGCTTGGTCGTACACATGCTGTAGGCGCCGTACTTGCCCGTGGTGGCGTTACCGGTGATGCCCTCGCACACGCCGTAGCCGCAGACGGTGCTGTACAGGTCGGCGTACTTCTTGCTCGACACGCTGTCCTTCACCACGCACGAGAGGGTCTCCTCCATGCAGGAGCAGAGTTCAGAGTTGGGGGCCGGGGGCAATGCGCTGGCGGCTTCCCAGCTTGAGCCGACGGTCGGGCACGACCGGGCGACGGTGTTGGTGGGAGTGTAGCTGGCGCTGTTGGTGCCGGTGGGGCTGACGCTGTTGATTTCCTTCGAGTACGAGGAGAAGCCGGTCAGGGTGCTGACGGAGCCGTCGGAGATGGTGACCAGACCTGGATGGGGTTAGTAAGTGAGTGGATAGGTGGGGAGGTGAAAGGGTTGGGGAGGGGGAGGTGTACCGTAGTCATTGGCATCTTGGAAGTACTCGTAGACAATACCACCGGCGAGCCAGTAGTCCATCTTAGGGCCGTACATGACGGGGACGTTGCTGAAGGAACGGGGCTGGACGGTGATACATCCATACTCGGAAAAGAAGTAAGGGACGGAGTAGTTGCTCAGATCCTCGGTCATAACGTTGTAGCCGGACTCGGTGTAGGTGGAGTCACCGCACCACTCGTAGACATTGTCACCGAAGAAGTCGACGGATTCGTCCGAGTCACCGCAGTTGAAGTAGTCGACGAGGTCGGTACGGATCTCGGAGACATCCGCAGCGGAGTAACCGACACCGATAGTGCGGTAGTTCTTGGACTTGATGTAGGCCTTCATGTCACGCACGGCAGCCTTGACGTAGGCGCTGGCACCGGTGGTGTTGACACTGTCGGAGTTCTCGTTACCCGCGAAGAAGCCCAGAGTGTTGGTGTAGTTGGCCAGCGAGTCGACCACGCTGGCGTAGTAGTTGTACAGGTCAATGGTCCACTCCGGGTCGCTGCTGTCAATGGAGTTGTCGGCGGAGGACAGATCAGCCAGCACGTAGATACCTGCGTCGGCGAACAGGTTCATACAGGTGGTGTGGTCCGCGTCTGGGTCGACGTCGTAGACACGCACCACGTTGGTGTTGAGTTCCTGCAGGTAGGGCAGATCCCGCTTGCAGATGGTCTCATTGGCGAGGGGATCGACGAAATCGACCGTGCCAGCGGAGGTCGTCGTGCCGTCGTCATCATAGGGGGCTGTTGTATTATTAGTTTGAGGCAACAGGGCCAGTGGGCATGCTAGTTTGCTGCTTACGCTGGTAGGCCACACCACGGATGAAGCTGAGGCAGGTTAGCAGATGGTGGTGGAGATGGAAAGAGGATAGTAACATACAATTCAGTGCCGTTGTTCTCGTAGAAGAATTTGGAGCCCTAGGAAGGGTGAGCGGGATGAATAGATGGATTGGTAATGGTGGCTACCTTAATGACAATGGCTGGGGCAGAGGCGACAGCCACGTCGACGAGAGCAGCCGCCGCTACAGCAGAGACGGCGAGCTTCATAGTGAGGGGAACGAAAGAAGACGATGCTATAGAACGAGTGTGGTTGTTGTATTAAGATAGAGCGAATGTGGTGGTTAACGAGAGGAAGAAAACCAAACAAAAAGGCTAAGCAAAAGGATACAAGATGGATGGATGAAAGAAGAAAGAGAAAGAGAATCTGGAGCGAGAGACCAAGTGGGAGGGAGGAAATGGGAGGACTAAGAAGGAAGAGATGGAGACCGGCGAGGCGAACCTTTGCTAGTCTGGACTCTTATTAGTTGTTACTTGTTAGGGCCGCATTTGCCTGCTGCCTACGGAAAAAGCCCATTGGCCCCCCTGAAGGTTGTGTCAGGATGGGCAGAGAGACTGGGCCTGATGGAACGGCGCTACCATTGGGGGAGCCAGCCAGTCTCTCTGATTGAGTAGTAATTTTAGTACTTTGAGACTAGTTAGATACTAGCTGACAGCCCCCAGAAATGACGATGATGATAATGATGATAAAATCTTACGCGGTAATACAAAGAACATCAGCGATATGGAATCCAGCAATTAGGCTCGTGAGCGACATCTTGGCTGATCTCTTGGCTTTGCTTAACAACTCTTGGGAGTTCCCACGCAGCGGGTCTCGGATCCAGCCGGCTTGGTGACTGGCCGATCGCTGCTCGGACATGGATAAGTTCTGTTCCCCTTTTGCCCCAGTCCACGCAAGAGTTTTACTATAATTACGACTACTTCGTACTTAGGCCAGGGAAAATGGGAGGGTCACAGGGTCAACAGGGTCAAAAGTCCCTATCCCCATCGCTGTGAGTCCACCAACCCCTGAATCCAGGGTCAAAGGGTCACCAAGGGTCAAAAGGGTCGTAGGGACAGGCAGAAATCAATCAGAGGGGAATTAATTGGCAATGGTGCGTGCCTCGGAGTTTAGGGCGATTCTCGGACAGCCGACACACACAACCCCAACTGCGCCATGGTTACTCGTCCCGAGGGGGGACAAATTCTGATGATTCCACGTGCCGTCCAGTGGACACATCACCCAGAATAAAAATAATCACAATAATAATGTTACAGTAGGATGAGAGGCAGTGTCAGGAACGGAAAAATGGAATGGAAGCGTCCGCTGAATAATCTCGCATCCTTCGTTTGATTGCTGTTGACGCGTTACGGGCGATGATCCCAGCCAGTGGCCGCTCGGGTGCCACCCGACGGGTGATTTCATCCAACCGGTTGGTTTCAGATGCGCGGCCTTGGGGGCGAGACTGGTACGACTGGAGCAAACTGGACGAGTGATGGCTGGATGGGCAAAGCAAGCATTTTTATGGTCGGTGACACCACTGCCCGCCCACTCCTCACTCTTCTGCTTAGCTGGGTAGCGATCGGCACTGGACGTGCGGCCCCCGGAGATCCGTCGGACTGCCGATACCCGCTCATTCGGGTTAGTGCCGACACAGACAGAAGAGAGAGAGGGAGAGAAAGAGACAGAGACAGAGGGAGACAATGTGAGGGTTAGGAGAGGGATATGTGTAAGAAGCACCTTTCATTGCGTATGGTGGGTAGTTATGTGAATTGGGTCGTTGAGCTCATTTATCTCTCCCACAGCCAATGCCACCTCTCCATGGTCCTCCATCGGCTCGCATCGGTGCAGACATATCTCTCAGTGAAAGCCGACCGTGCAATGGCTGGACAATCGCCTTATCGGCATCTGCATGTCTTACAGAAATTCAATTCCACAAATGACAGATAAGGCTCGTATACTAGTGGGCCAGGGTTCTGGGGATGCCGGCCTTCCAGTGGTTTATTATTGAACCAGCGTGAAGCGATGCCAACCGAACTACCATGCACTTATCGAGTCCAATGAACTCATTCGGATTACATCTAGAAACAGTCGAATGCAATCAGCTTTACACACTATCTCAGAGTTTTCAGATCCTGCCTTATCGCGTCCTACGCTAAAAATGCTTAGCCTGCAGGGTTGAGTGCTTGACCTTGTACAGAGAGACCCTATGCAGAACGAGAGCCACTGCTCTGCAGCTCTTATCGTAAGTCCCATGTGGCAACCACCATGTGCTGCTGCTGCTGCTGCTTCTACCAGTGAGGCTTCTTTCCGGGCTGGCCTCGTATATAGTGCAAGCCACCCCTCCTGCAGCGTCGGGGAAATACCGTCCAGTCAGACCTCACTCATCGATCATGGAGACCAAGTCGGCCAGTGTGTCTCCCGAGCAGGAGATACCGAGCTACAATGAGAAGTCGAGTCAGGAAAGTCCTGCCTTAGAGCCCCAAGTGCTCGAAAAGGGGCAGACGGTGCGCATCGGTGAGGATGATGACTATGATAGCGACCAGGTGGTGAGCACGGCTCAAGATCTTGTCACTCATATCATCAAAGTCGAGGATGACCCATCCCTGAACCCATGGAGCTTTCGCATGGTCTTCTTGGGTAATATTGTCTCCGCTACGACGTGTTTTAATTGCTAAGCTCCTGTAGGTGCCGGGCTGTCCATCTTCGGCGGTGTACTCCAGGAAATCTTCTACTTCAAGCCACAGACAATTTACGTCTCGCAGGTCTTCCTCACAGTCATTGCCTATATCTTGGGAGAGCTCATGGCATATGTGATCCCTCGTCGTGGTGTCATCGGAAAGTTACTTAACCCGGGCCCTTTCAATGCCAAAGAACATGCCGCCATTTCCCTCATGTCCTCTGCCGCTACACAGTCCGCGCTGGCCACCGAGGCCTTGTCAGCCCAGCAACTCTTCTACGGTGGATATCCCAACCACGCTGCTGCCGTCTTCATCGTGCTGTCATCTCAGCTGATTGGTTTCGGTATCGCCGGTCTGCTGCGCGATGTCATCGTGCGGCCAACCAAGATGATCTGGCCCATGACCCTACCCGTCAGCAGTCTGCTTGAGTCATTGCACAAAGACAAGGCGCAGTCTAAGGCACGGTTGAAGATCTTCTACATCTTCTTCTGCATCCTCTTTTTCTGGACCATCATCCCAGAGTACATCTTTCCCCTTCTTGAAGGTTTCTCCATCTTCTGCTTGGCCGATCAGCACAGTCTAGTCTTCACCAACCTGTTTGGTGGTGCTTCCGGAAACGAGGGACTCGGATTTCTCTCCCTTTCCTTCGATTGGAACTACATCGCCTCGTTGGGCTCGCCACTATGGTATCCGCTGTACGCCATGACCAACAATTTCATCGGATACCTGGGCTGCATCATCCTCTTCATGGCCGTCTACTATGGCAATATCTGGCGTTCTCAAGACTTCCCGTTCTTGTCCCAGTTGCTTTACTACGGCGACTCCAACTCCACCTCCTACAATGAGTATAACCAGACCCTGATCCTCAATTCTGAATACATTGTCGACCCTGCGGCCCTCAAAGAGCAGGGTCTGCCCTGGCTGACAGGGACATACGTGGTATACCTCATCACCTCCAACATGGGAGTGACCGCCACACTGACCCACATGCTGCTGTGGGATTTCGACGACATCAAGGTCGGCTGGGCCTGGGCTGCCCCCAGCAAACTCAAGAAGTGGCTGAAGCTGGAGACCTACAAGTTCTGGAAAAATCAGGAAACCCCCGAGGAACGTCTCACACGACGCGTCAACGACGAAACACTCGATCCACACTACCGTCTTATGCTGCGCAACTTCTATCAGGATACTCCGCTGTGGTGGTGGGGTACTGTCCTGATTGCGAGCTTTGCCGTTGGCTTAGGCTGCTTGTATGCGATGAAGTCTACGCTGCCGTGGTGGGGATTCATCGTCGGCAACATCCTCACGCTGGTGTTTATGCTCTTCTTCGGTGCGCAATACGGGTTGACCGGGTTTCAGTTCAACGTTCAGCCTATCTGCCAGATGCTGGCGGGCTATATGTTCCCGGGGAAGCCGTTGGCTAGTAAGTGAACTTTCGCTCTAATGTCTGACCCAGCTAACGTGCAGACCTCTACTTCACCTGCTTCACCTACAACTCGTTGCAGCAGGGACAGGTCTTGGCCAAGGATCTACGACTAGCGCAACAAGTGCATCTATCTCCGAAGTGCACCTTTTTCGTGCAAGTGATGGGCTGCATCATCGGTGCTCTATTCAACTACGTGATGATGCTGATGTATGCTCCCTACCTCCCGGTACCCGACTTACCCTCATTAACAATAAATCAGCATCGTCCGAAACCAATCCGAAGTCCTCATCTCCATCGACGGCACCAACATCTGGAGTGGTGCCAACGTCCAAATAAGTCCCCCAACCACATCCCACCTTTTACTACAAAGCTAACACCCCCAAACCAATTCAACAGTCTCGCCATAGCCTGGAGCATCGCCAACGACATGTTCTCCATCGGCGGCCGCTACGAATGGGTAACCATAGCCTACCTCGTCGGCTTCATCGTGCCGGTACCCTTCTGGCTCGCCAACCGATACTACCCGCATCCGATCTTCTCCTACCTCAACACCTCCATTATCCTCTGGTACATGGGATGGTTGTTCGTGGGTATTAACGCCTCCATCATGTCGTATTTCCTGCTGGGATTTGCGGCCCAGTTCTGGCTCAGACGGTATCATCCTCAGCTGTTCAACAAGTATAATTATATTGTCTCGGCGGCCTTGGATGGTGGCACGCAGATTTGTGTGTTTATTCTTACGTTTGCGGTGTTTGGTGGGAGTGGGGTGGAGCATGCATTTCCGTGAGTTATCACTTTGGTGATTTGAGAGTGTGTGAGAGATGCTAATTGTGGGGTAGGATTTGGGCGGGCAATCCCAACACCAATATTCATAATTTGGATTATTGCAAGGTCAATCCGGCGACTTTGTAGGTGGATGGTAGCTGTGCATGGGCTGGTCATGTCCGGTATGTGCAGGATGGAGGGGCGGAGGGTACGTTCTAGCTCTGAAGTGGAGTACCTTCAATGTAATACGTTATGAACCGATGTACAAGGGATTGAATGGATGATAGCCTACATCAGGCATTATAGTCTCCGATTTTCTGTAAAAAGCACTGCCCGTGATAAATATCCATTGAACTCACAGAGGATAGCAACAGGGATAAACTAATACTCAAGCCAAACAAAACATACTACGAAAGATTTGTATATTTACAGGCCAACCACCAGAAGTAACTTGTAAAGAAATTCGTATCCTAACATATCCTCAATCTAGATCGTATATCCCATCTACTCCTTGGCCCCAGCAAATGGACACCCCGAAGTAGTCTTCTCCTCGCCCTCCACCTTAGTCTGTTCATGGTCTTTGGCAATCTGGCGGAACATCTCCAGAGGGTCAAACCACACATCAATGCGCTGCAGCTTGAGGGCATCATTGACCTTGGCGATCACAATACCCTGAATATCGATAGGTCCGCCGTGCGCAGCGATCTTGACCTTTTCTCCCTTGCTATACCATTATTAGTCCCCACCCACACATAAATCACCGTTCGGGAGGAGGGTATTGAACATACTCATTGAATCCAACATAATCCCTAGCCATAACGCCCCAATGCCTCCACTTAAACACCACAACCGGCGGCCCACTATAGACCTCCAGCACCTCCCAGGCAAACGTCGGCATCATGCGCTTAAACGACTTGTGGCTCGCCTCGAAATCATTATTGGCGGGATCGTAGTACGCACTCGGCGTGAGGAGGGCATTGTACGTGCCGACTTTCAGCATGTGTTCGCCGCTCAGCGGGGGTCCGCCGTTCAATGTGAAGTGGTATGTCTCGTGGTCGATGGTGCGCCAGTCTGCGAGGTTGGTCTTGAAGGACGCTTCGACCTCCCAGTTCTTGACGAGGTTCTCGACGAGGAAGGGGAGGCTGCCGGATTCGTGGGTCATTTTCCTAGCTGTTGTTTGGCAGTGTTAGTAACACTTTGGGGGGTGGCTGGATTGGTAGGGGGTGTTCTACTCTCTTCGTAGTAGGCCCGGGTCTTGCTGTAGTCTGGAGGACCTCCGTGACGCCAGGCGGCGTCTGTATCGTTGAGGACCGCATTGGGGTCCAGAACGTAGTCGGGGAGTCCTGCAGCGTCACCCATTGTGGTCTGTGGTAGATGCTAGTGGAAGTTGGGGAAATGTTGAGTAAAGAACCAACAGGGGTAGACAGCCAGACTATATATCCTCCACCCCAGGCTAAAGTATTGTCAGTCTCCGCCTCTCAGGAGACGTGGCCTATAACAATGGCCTCGGTCTTTCTGAAGCCACTGCGACAATAGGACGCACTAATTTTTGCCTAGCAGTGGGGGTGTCAGCCGGCTTAAAGTCAGATTTAGTGTTGAAGATAGCGCACATGGCCTATCTATCTAGACCGGTCGCAAAAACGGCCAGGTCGCAGCCGTTTGTTATCGCGCTGGTTTAGTCTGCGACCGGTGGTGGTAGTCATTTCAGGTGCAAGTAGCAGAAGATTGATGGGAGGGGTCGGAATGCATTGACCAGACAGAGGGGTCATTGTTGTTCATGGTTACACTGAATTGGGTCCTCGTGGGGATCATTGGATCGATGGATCGTCTTGGCCTCAGCTCGCTGTCTCCATCCGAGGCTGTCAGCCCCAACACCATACCCGCGGTGCGAGGAATCTGTCTAGTCAAAAGGGTAAGTAGGTAAGTTCTTCGATGGTTATCATGTCGATCACCTGCGACTGATGAAGAACTGGCATTGTTTTCTTTCTCTCAGTGACAATGGGCAGAATGTTATTGTATCGCCCAAATCATGCCATTGTCGCGTGTCTCCGACGGGGTTGCCTGCGATGCAGGGGTGAGATCTTAGGTCAACATCCGCGCTCCAATAAAGCAATCGCGCTTACACATCGTTCCGCACTTAACAAGCCATTGTGAGTTCTAAGAGGCACGTTTGGTCGAGGTGGATCAGATGTTTATAATAGACATTTTAGGGCGGCTGGCCGGTTTCCCGCCGGAGTCTGGCGGATAGAGCCACTCTCATCCCTGTGCGCCCTAATTGGCACATCGGCGTTGGGTGGAGATTCGGCCGACGCCCTCGTGGCCGCACAGAACTCATGATTGGTGGTAGGTTCATATCGCAATAGATTGAATTAGATTGCTGGTGGTTCGTTCTCACCACCACTCAAGGGGTTCTCTCATAAGCAGAATGTTACGAGCTCGTTGCGTACCTTTTCTGAGTCTAAAACTAACAGTGATAGCTGATCTGACATCTGGCTAAAACAAAAACCCATTGTGTCTCTAATAGTGCTAAAAGGAGTACAGAGCGACTTCAACTACTTCCCACCGGGTCTGATCTTATGTTTAAGACACAAATGGCTCTACCAGCACTCCCCTGGTATTCATAGACACCGACTCTCACGGAAGATACAGTAAATAGTATTGATTAAAGGCTCTAAGTGACGATTTACGTCAACTAGCTTCAAAGCTCAGGGCTACACTCGAGCTGTATATGCGACGGCGGGTTTTCAAAGGGCGCAGACAATCCATCGGCAAAACCACCTGTGCTCCAATCTGACCAATGAAGAAATCATCTGGAGACTGAACTCAGTGCTACATGGCTCCCCCCAGAGCCCATTTTCTGCTCCGACTATTTTGGCAACTTAGAACTTTACTCCTAAGTAGTAGCCAGACTCTGCTGTTATTAGTACTGATAGCTCTGCATCAATATTGCCACATCGTTCGAACTCATTTGTATTAGTAGTATCACTATCCCTGACAATAACCATGATCTTCAACATGGCAGTTGTACATGATACTCCTGAAGCATCACAAAATGACTATAACATGAAAATGGGACACAATATACATCATAATAAGAAAGCATTGGTTTCCCCAGTTCAATGCCTCTATTTCCAGCGCAGAAGCCAGCCACTCACCCCCTGGGTTACGAACGAAATCCAAAAAGACCAATCTTTGCCCCTTCGAACCCCAAAGGTCTATAGGCTATAGCCATAGTCTTACCATGGACGGCCACACTCCCACGGAAGTTTGGTGGCAACAAAAACTTACTCTCCCCTTGGAGATAGACCCACCCGTCCTCTTGGACTTGTATATCTATTTCGGGCTCTACAGCAGCAGGGGCACTGCAGAGAGATGGTAGTAGTTCATACATTTCCATGTTCAACTGCACGTGGCGTCCATCTCCAGTGAATCGAAGAGTGGATAGAGGGCGTTTGCTGTCAATTCTTTGCACTTCACTGCCAGATCTCGGGTCCCAGATTATGACTGTCCCCTTGGGGTCGCCTGATGCTAGCCACCGTCCATCTAAGGAATAGGCTAAGGATCTGATAATCCACTCATGACCCTCGAGTGTCTGCTCCAGGGCGCCAGTACTTGAGTTCCAGATTTTGACAGTTCTATTTTCGGAGCTGGTTGCCAACCATCGTCCATCTGGTGAGAAAGTCACAGCTGTAAGCGCGGCCGTATGCCCTGCACACGTGTGTTGTAGGCAGTTGTCTGTTTGCCCGTCGATCATTTTCTCCAGGTCCCAGATCTTCAGGTTATTGTCTGTCCCAGCAGAGGCAAGCCATTTTCCATCCGGTGAGATGTCCATGGCTTCAATCAAATGGTCATGTGCCTTCACCGTCACCCGCGTGGCATCGGTCGCTTGGTTGTTGCGCATGATGTCCAGATCCCAGATTCTGATATTTAACCCTTTGGAGACAGATGCCAGCCATCGTCCATCTGGAGTGATAGCTCGTGGTGACTCAGACGTAGGATCGAGGGGGCCGGCCCCTGTATCATTAGGCGCGGTTTCCAGGTCCCAAAGTTTGATCAGGTTGCCTGCGGAGCATGATGCCAGGAGCTGCCCATTGGGTGAGAATGCCAGACTTTGGGCGCTCCAGAGATGGCCTGAGAATGTTCTTTGCAGGGTCCCAGTTGCTAGGTCCCATAATCGGATTGTCCTATCAAAAAAGTAGCTTGATACTAACTTCTGACCATCTGGTGAGAATTTGACTGCCCAAGCCCTATCCTCAAGGCTCCCCAAGGTTTGCTGCAGGACCCGATTCACTGGGTCCCAGACTTGGACAGGACCAGCACCGGATGCCAGTCGGCCATCTGGTGAGAAGGCCACTGACTCAACAACCAAAGTCGTCCTTTCAAATGTATGTTGCAAAGCTCCAGTCGTGGGGTCCCATATCTTGATGCTTCGGTCGTCGGAACCCGATGCCAGCCATCGCCCGTCCTGGGAGAAGGCTATTGACCGAACATGTCCCCGATGGCCTTTTAACGTCATAGGCAAACCTGTCGTTGAATTCCAAACCTTGACGGTGCTATCACCAGAACTGGAAGCCAGCAACTGCCCATCTGCGGAGATAGCTACTGACCAGACAGGGCCCTCATGGCCTTCCAGCGTCCTCAGTGTGTCGGTCACCAGGTTCCAGAGTTTGATGGTCTTGTCCTCTGAGCCGGATGCAAGCCACTGGCCATCTGGTGCGAATGCTACTGATAGAACCGAATTACGGTGCCCCACGAGGTTGTACTGCAGTGTACCGGTCGCTGTGTCCCACAGCTTGATTGTGCGATCGCCGGCACCGGACGCCAACCATCGACCGTTTGGAGAAAAGGTTACTGTTCGAACAGGTAAACCTCTATGCCCCTCAATTGTTTCCAATTCCGCGTTCCAAAACTTTTCAACTTCCGGCATACTGCTTACCCAAGAGGGAAGTTCAAATGTCTTTCGGATGATTGACTCCGTTGGTGCAAACATTAGCCCCGAACAGTATAATTGGAGCGGCGCCAGATCAACCATTCGTCGACATTTCAAGGTAAACCTTTTAGCATCGTAGAGAAACGTGGAGAGCTCAGAGCTATCATCGCCCTACATTTATTAGTCCTGCTTGGGAGCAGCCTGATGGGAAAGTACCTTGATAAGTGACGCTACCATCTCAATGTTCCGAACAATTTCGAACGCATATCCTAGGACGCACATTACTTCGGCCCAGTGCAGGAAGTGCTCCTTCAAGAATGAATAGACATTGGTCATCATAGCTGCAGAATCCTTGGATTGTGCTATATGGCGTGTCCAGTATCTGCAGGAATATTCGAGCTCTCTTGGTATACAATCGCTGACAGAGCGCCCAAGGGTTTCTTCGCTGATATCAACCCTCTTGAATCCTTCATATGGCAGATTGCAGATGTTCTTCTTCAGCCGACGTCGCATAATGTCGAGACATTTTCCCGCCAGTCCTTGATGCGCCTGACCCCCATCTACCCAGAAATCCGTCTTTTCTCGGGTTGTCGGATCAAGGAGAAAGTCTCGAAACGATAGATGCAAAATGCCCACTGGTGCAGACTCATCCTCCGGGATATTCAGCACGGCATGCAGTCGGCTGAGTCGAGTACTTATTGCCCTGGTAGAGATGCCAAGAAGCTCCGAAAGCGAAAGAACAGAAAGTGGAGCTTCCAGAATAACAATAGTACCAACCACTTCGTGGAATTCTTCCACGATCTTTTTTCGCCGGTTTTCACCGTGCGTCGAAAGTTTGTGTAGTATCGGAAGATAAGTTCCGTCGAGCTTGGACTCCTCGTTCTGGTACTCAAGAATCTCCGAGAGGCTCTCAATGGGGTCCAAGTCATAATCTCCAAAGACACGGCACACCGTCGCAGCGAAGATGAACAAAGGAACGGACATCTTGACCAGAGCATGAAATTGAACATCTCCAGGCCAGTCGGATGGTAGAGCACGCTCTTTAGCGATTCGATCCAGTTTGTGCCTCAAGAATAGTGATATATCGTGCTCAATCACGGGCTGGGGAATCCGGTGGAGAACAAGATCCCGGTGATTGTCCTTGACTCTGTCTTCCTGGAAGCCGAGCTGTATAGGTAGTTCTGGGCGACTAGTGATGAAAGCATGTAGCTGAATAGACTTCGATTCTTGAAGTCGAGGAAAGAGTCGCAGTAAGAGGCGTAGGTCCTGCTCGTCGTCACACTCATCCAGTGCGTCGACCACAATCACGAGTCTCCTCATATTTGGGCTTTCATCCATGCTACTCAACGGCTCAAGAAGGAGCTTCTCGAATTGGATCCTGAATCCTCTCTTTGAGATATCAGGATCATCTTCAATGGCCTTCGTGACT